AGAGTTGTTGAATGGACCCAAGCAGCAACCTCCAGTCTTGAGACATAAAGCTGATGATGCATCCTGAGCGCTTGTTTGAGGCTGGCTGCAGAAGAAACCTTAGTTCACACTAAAAAAAAGTTCAGTTGAATCAGCATTACTAACTTTGTACGTTGTCATGATGGGAATATACATCCGCATGACTCTTTCCTTTACAAAAGCAAATCACAGGTGGCAAAAAGTAATGATAGCTGGTATTACACCTGGTCAGAGGAGCAGCATTGGTGGAGAATCACTTTTGGAGAGTCTAACAACTTGCTCCCACTCCACACTTGGAGGTTTTCAATGGCACTTGATGTGGCTGATCCTCCACATGAATGTGCAGCGGGAAAATGTGGGGATATGGTCACTCTCTCCCCCCAAAATTTATCACAAAAGGCTGCAGAAATCATTCTTGCCTGTGGCCATCAAAATGTACAACCTTTCCCCACAAGTGCCTCAAACTCAGAGAGGATAGAGTGAGATATTTCAACTCTAAAGCTTAAAATCTTCCACAAAATCACATATAATGTATTATCACATAAATGTACAGTCTGATTCAAACATGACTTACTGTTAAAGACTCTGATTTTCCACTTGATCCGATTTGTTCTTCTATCTCTATTCTCATTTCTAGATAGTGTATAAGGACTACTGAGATGACTACATTTCTTAGTGATACAAATCATTTTTCTCATTCATATCCTCAAGTGTCTGTCTTTGAGACAGGTGAAATAAAATGTCTCCAGAACATGAGCTCAGTTCAGTAAGGCTGCGGCTCTCAAATCATCTCTGAGCACACACTAAATCTGAATGACCAGCACAAGCGCACTTCTCTGAAGATTTAATCTTGACACAAGTCAGGAAACAAAATTAAATTGATTTTTTGGCCACAGTTTCCTGACTCCCCCGACCCACCTCAATAACAAACATAAAAAGGGGCAAAATGAAATGTCTTTCCTGAAACATAATAACACACACTGACACATATAGAAGCTAATAATAGAAGCTTCTGTTGCCGAGCATTTCAGTGAGGAGACCCGGCCATGTGTTTCAAAACGATTTTTCTTGGAAAGCATCCTGCTATAGTAATCTTGTCCTGATTGCATCGATCACAATCACACAGCTTGAAATGACACAACTGGAATTTACTCTTGGGATCCAGAGATTTATGGCTGGGATATCAGAAATAAGACAAAGTGTATGGTCACTCTAAGTAGTGCAGGTCAGCTTTTGGTAGATTTCTCTGACATGAAGTAACTAGCATGCTCTGAAAAATAACAATTCATAGACAGAAAGCCAAGCAAGGGTGCAAAAAATTTGCATTAATTCACATTAATCAAGTTATAGTAATATTACTTATGTAAAGTGCACTTATGTTCTTAGTTTAAAACTCCAATAAAAAATCCCTGATTAAAACTGTGGCTCAACTTTTTGCTCCTTAAACAGCAACTTATATGAAACTATTCCAACTCTCAAATAATAAACTGCACCAACAAGCAATTATGACCGAACCAGCAATAAATCCCACTTCAGTTTGCAGCCTGTGCATATAAATGTATCAAATTAACCAGAAAATAGGATGGGACTCAGACAATTAGACAAAGATGGCTGCTGATAAATAAAAATGAGTGGACACCGTATTGGTTTCAACAAGAAATATTCAGCCATCAATTAAAGAGCCTGTCACTTTAACAGCAGAGGAAACTTCATCAGGGCAGACAGCCCTGGGGAGGAAACTGTGGACCAGCTCCTTGAACTTGTTTGTCTCACTGTGCAGCTGCCTATTTCCAACTTTTACTTCAGTGTTTATGAAAGTGAACTTTACAAAGTCTGCATCTAAATTTGGTGACATGCAGATGTAATGTACTGCATCATTTTATGTGGTATAGACTCAAGTTTCTTTGCCTGCGTGTTCAAGTCTGCAGCAACTTTGCCTTGTGTGGCTCAGTTACCCTCAGCTGGCCTGAGGATTGTTGGTCTAATGTCCAATGTACAAAAAATAGCCTTCCATGTTTAAATATACAATACCCAGCTTGTTCTCTACTGTGGCCCCTGGACACGCTTTCCTTTGTTTCAAAAAGTTTATGAAGACCTTGGTGCAATCTGAAATAAAGCCAAGTGAAATGCTCAGAGTACTATAAGTATTTTACTTGTATGCAGGAAGAATCTGAAAATGGTAATGTCTTGCATTTATGGAGGAACTTTCATTAAATGTGGCACAGAAGTAGTGTATGAATTGAGGGCTGAAACCTCAGCTGACTTGTTTAATGACAATATTGAAGGATGAATTGATTCCTGTTGCCATCTTGGACAGAAACAGATAATGGCATCAAGCCCAATGAAATTTGTCAAACGATGAGATGCAAAAGCAGCTATTGTGAATCCGCCATAAAGGTTTGACGCAGCCCCATTGACTCAATGACATGGACGAAATCTCATTGACTCTACTTACTGTTTTTTTGAAAAGCCCAGTGATGGTGGTTGCCATCTTGGAAATGCAGATTCAACCTATGTAGAGTCAATGAGCCGCTGTGAACCAGTCATATTTTTGCACCAGGCTGTAAACATGTTTAAATCTGTAGTATAAATCGATTTTTTACCATTGGTGTTCATTGGTATTTCTTCTCTGTTAAAGGTGGGGTAGGCAGGATTTCACTAAAGAGGCATCTTTTTTTGTGGTGTATATACAAAAAGCTTTTAAGATCAGTCAATAGCTATTAGTCATTGATGATATTTGGTAATATAATGATATTGCTGTGTTTTGTTATGTCTGTGTAGTCAACATTGTAGTCTAACAAAGCCACTCTCCGCCTCCCCCCACCTGATTGGTTGTGAGGCTCCTTAGTGCTGATTGGTAGTGAGGCAGACGCTGCTCCCCCGTGTTGTGATGCACGTTCCATATCCTCGAATAATGTGCACGAGTCCAAACAAAGTTAGAGTGCTACAACATTGGACAGTAGAAACCAACAAGAAAGTACTGAAAACACAAGCAAGAAAACAAAGTAAATGGTGGAGTAACAGGTGCTTAAAACAGAGGAAGAACTAAGAAGCCGGGTCAACATCAGCATAAATAATGGGGGACGCTTCGCGACCTTAACAACCCTGTAATCTTTCTGCTGGACAGGTACACCGCTTTAACAAAGTGAGCCAAGTGTCTGTAACAATAGTGATTCTTGTCAAACGGGACCTGCCGCGTATTTTAGCGCCGCTAAACTGTTAACATCGGGTCCTGGACTATGTCACTTTATCCTAGCTGTAGAAGTCCTGCAAACATTGTGTTTGCTGGTAGTCTGTTGGCATCTACTGTAGCACTAATGCTTTTTACTTTCATGTTGACTGGGCCCCATTTGTAATTATTTGAAGTATTTATCTGCATTATATCTGAATTCAATTGAAATGATTCGAGCGAGCAGGAGCGTCTGTTTGTGGGCGGGGCTTGCTGGAGCAGAGAGGGAGGGGAGAGGAGGAGCTGAGGGGAAAACTGGTTGGAAGGGGTAGTGTTTACATTCAAGATTCCTCCCAAAAACTGGCACTTCCTCAGATCCTACCTACCCCACCTTTAAAGCCTGCCTCATGTGGTCAGTCAAAGAACTGCAGTTAGTATCATTTTTCATCACCTGTTACTGTCACTTACACATAGCATCCCTTTATTTTTGTACTTAACAGTGGTTTAACTGTATTTAGAAATAATAAAAAAAAACATATCAAGTAAGTTTATAATCAAGACTTTGGTTAGTTGCTCTCCAAGATTCTGATTGGTTGTTGTAAATTCTTTGAATCCATGCACAAAATATTAGTGAGCTTGCTACAGATTTTTATGAGTTTAATTTCACCCCTAAAGCAAGAAATGCTCTATACACTGATGAATGGTGGTGTGTTCAGGCGTCTGGTATTGACATGAAGTCAGCTCAGCCACAGTGCAGGAAAAATGGAAAATAAGGCGGTGGGGGTGAGTGGGGGGGTCAATGAATTATTAATGTTCAGGTCTGCCCACTATATGGCCTATGTGTCATGTTGATGGCTCGCCTTTACAATTCCTGTTTCACACTGTAGCCTGCTCCCTGAAGCCTTTTACAGTATAGCTTTCTTTCTTTCTTTCTCTCTTCCTTCCTTCCTATTTTATATTTACATTTCCCTTTAAGGTCACTTTGTTTTTTCTCTCCAAAAAATTAGCCCATTTTGAGCACATCTAAGAACCACCAAGCTGCCAAAGCAATGACCTTTCCTGTGCTGAATTACTTTAATTCAATTTTCCAGTCAGTCAATCATGACAAGACAAAAAAAGGAATGTGCTCACTCATATGCTTTACATCACCTCCACCTACAGATATTAATGGAAATAAAGACACATTTTAAATACAGAATTTATTAGCATTTTTACCATTCAATCTTGATGCAAGGAGTTTAGAGTAGACTTGACAAACATACTTTGGAAACAAACAGCAACCTCAGATGTTGAATTAGGAGTCAATGTGGAGGTGCAAGCAACAAACACTTCAAGACCAGAGCTACGTTTTAGGTAATAACGCATCTTGACTGCAAGACAGAAAAAAATGCTAAAATAAAAGCATCCAAAAAAACGTTTCCTTGGATAATGTCCTCTCCAAAGCAGTTTTAGTTACACAGCCAGTGAATTGTATAAATCATAAATTTGAACATAATGAGAAATGTATGATGACATTTAAGTTTTTGATCATATCAATACTGAAAATAATGCATATTCCAGCATATTTCAAGCTATGGTTGAATGATGTGTGAGTTAGTTGTAGCTTCTTGCAAGGCAGAAGGCTGTGGCCTCAGCTGAGCCTCTTTGCTGGTTTCTTGAGTAGTCGTTACTTAGTTGTAGTCCACATTTCCAATATGGCAACCACCATCTTCTGGCCCCTTAACGCCGCTTCAGAAACCAACGGTTGATGTTACTGAGATAATGTCCATGACGGAAATTCCAGGCAACTATCAAGGCCGTGGATGTTTGTTTTCTATGCTGGTACAGTACAATCCTCACGAGGCATCTCTGTATTTTCACAAGAACAGGAGGCTGTGAGTGAGTGTGTGTGGGTAAGGTATAGCTTACAAATCAAAGAAACATCGTGAACACTATTCTGAAATGACACAGACATCCTTTAAACATGAGCTGTGGTCTAGGTAATAGGTAATAAGACAGGTGAATGCTCCCCAATAGCTGTGGTCAGAGCCTGTGAACTGTGGGCCTCACTAAATGGATGTAAATAGGAGTTTAGCCGAGTGTAATCACAGAGTCGCAGGAAGGTGAGGATGAATAATTCACATGCTCTCCGCACCTCATATTTTCATTCTCTGCAGGCAATTTTCTGTGATGTACAAACTCATAAACACTCACATAAATACACACACACAGAAAAGTAGAATTGTGCTGCCTTACCTCGGTCCATCAGCTCTTGATAAGGGTTATTTCTCTGTCAGACTTAGACATGTTCAAAATGCTCTCTGGGTGCTGAACAGGCCTGTCTCCTCTGTGTCACATGTTGGGAAAAAAGGTATTTCTTCAGCCACTTCTGTTACACTCGACAATGATCTAAACAAAGCAACACTCAAGGTTTCTCATAAAAAAGGGAAAAGCTTATGCCGTAGATATTTTCAAGAGAGCTCAAGCTGATCTTGAAGTGAAAAAAAAAATGAAGTGGCTTTTGAGTCTTTCCATCATGAGAGGTTATTGTGACTAGTGATAGCTGTAAATTTGTATTGTAATTGCCACTAAACAAATGGAAAATTGCTTTTTATTAATTCAAGTGATTTGTGTTTTTTTTCCACCAGCAATTATATAACTAACCTATTTTCGCCTTGATAAAAGCTCTGCAGGTGGCAGGCAGAAAGACTACATGCTGTTTCACAGCTTTGGTCAAAAAATGTCATAGCAATCAGTAGATGGCTTGCTGTTAAAGTCAGTACATCTTTTCGTGCCAATACAACTGAATCTTTATTTTAACTAGTATATTTTTATTACTAAGGACAGCAAAGGAGAGTTATGAACTGTGGGGAGTCGAGAATGAGGGATGATGTACAACAAAAGGGCGTTGAGAGTCAAACAACTTTTTATCTTTCTTTTTTTTATGGCCAACAATATCCTTTTCATGCACTCACCACCTTACTGATAACTCCTTGGTAAACAGCAGCCAGTTCAAGCTGGATATACTGTATGTCTAAATGTCAACACAGTGACCTTGGATTAATCCACCAGCATAGACCCTGCATAAGACCACCACCACAAGTTGTCAGTAACATAACAGCAGCTATATAGCTAACTTAAGTTTTTTTGTATTGTGACTACAAAGCTGTGTAAAAAGCAACACCCACTCACTGTGCCTAACTTTATCACAAGAAAAGTAATTGAATTGAAAGTCAGGGATTTTACTTTTTTTTTTTAAACTGCAAATAGTGCAACACTTTTCATAACAATAAGTGAATATGAATCTAATAGGTCCCCTTTAACACAGTTTTCAGTCAGTGTGTAAAGTGCTCCAAGACAAACATTTGGAGAATAAATAGTTGCATAAAAGGCAGGAAAATGTTTCTAAATTACAGAAATGTTTGTCTAAGAATAATCATGCAACGCAAGCAGGACATTCTCCTTCTCTCATCTCTACTGACTATTTCATTGCAGCTCTAAAACACTAGCCTCTCCTCTTTAATCGTCTTTGTGTCAGAGTGTCAGTGAGACGTTCTCACTGACAGTTACTACAGTTTGTAATAATGCATTCAAAGTCCTCATAGTGTAATCTTGTACAAACGCAGTTGCCAATTCTTATGTATGATTGTTTAAACACCAGCAATATTTAACTTCAGAATAAGACAAAGACTGTGGGTCCTTATTTAAAATTACTATTTGGAAGAGCTGACTCAAGTCAGTAAGCTCTTGTACCTTAAAGGTGTTAAACATATTTTTCAATAGAGGGTGGTTGAGCTTGCAATCTTTAATTTTCTTGTCATTATACAATTTGGTTTGGTGCTTTGAAAATGTCAGCATGCTCCTGTGAGAAACTCACAATCACAAAGCAAAACCAATACTTAAAATTACCTGAACTAATACTTTAATTTACCACCAATGATGACCTGAGAAGAAAAGTTAAGAGAGCAGCAATTTAGAAAACCAACACTAAGGACCTGAATTATAAAAGAATTGTGCTTTTGCAGCCACTTACCATGAAATAAAACTAAAACAGAGCATCTAAATTGCAAAGCACAGGCTAAAGTATAAAAGCACGGCAAATGATGCTTTAGAGGAAACAGCAGCTCTGCTTTTTTGTTGTTTGCACATGTTTAAATTGGTCATTATCCATATGTGCGGGACAGCTTTTAAGCCTTTATATGCAAATGAGCCCCACTATTATAAATGTCCAACTCACAAACACCAGCCCTAATAGCCACTCTGAGTACAAATGAAATTAACAACATCTGCAGAGTTGGTGGTAACTGTTGCATAGTGAAAGAGGCGTATCAGCAGGTGTGATCCATTCTTCATGAATTCACCCTGAAATGAACACTCACTTGTGCCCCACCTCTGTGGACTAAAGAAGAGAAAAGGCCATCACCCAATTCATCTATTTCTTCCCTCTGAGGACGAACAACGTCTGGACAGTTACAAAATAACATGCTGTGAAGCACAAGTTGCTAACTCCTTACTGCTGATAGAGGTGGGAGTTTGGATAAACTTGTCTAATCTATTGAACAGCTCTTTCTATCATCCTTATCAGCATAATTACAGTTTGTCAAACTAATAAATAACACACATGGATCTCTATTTATTTAGGCCCAAACCATGCTCTCTTTTAAATCCAAATTTTTATCCAAGTATAACTAACCATAATTAGCATGGTTACAATGGCTCTACCAGAATACTTTGATGTAAATAAGCACAGATGACAGATGAGCTCTTGTCCTGTGGTGCAGTTTGGCTTTTCTTGAGAGCCAAACTTAAGATGGGAAAGATTTGACCCATCCCATCCAACATGAGGGACTGTACAAAGAAAAACGTCTTTTAATAGGCAGAAACCTTGAGCAGGGCCAGACTCATGTCAGACAGCTATCTGACACTGCTGAGTTAGGGCAAACACCAGAATATAAAATCGTATTAAAACGACAAAAGGAGCAATAAGGATTTCTCCTTAAGAAAGTGGTACAACATTTCTTTTTTTTTTTTTTTTATTCAAGTCAATCAATACCTCCATTCAAGTCTTGAAATGTTTTGGTAGTTTGAAAACTGGCATTAAAATGTCACATTTCAGTTTTGCTGATTAAGTCAGGCAGAAGATTGTACACATTTGAAGGAATATTTTCGTCAGCCTCATTTTCAGTATAGCAAAAAAACATATACATCAACAGAATATTCACTAAAAATCAGGGCATATTCTTGTTTAGGTGAGCATCCATCAATACCAACAAAGTGGTTGCACTTGAAATTAAATTTAGTTGTATCCTGCAGACGAAAAAACTTGTGAGAAAAACCAAGGAAATTTTTGCAAAGCAATTTCAAACTCCAACAAATCAGGAACATCAGCTGTGAGAAAGTGGTGCAAGTTTTTCCTGAAATGTTGGTTGTCAACAGGAAGGTCTGGAGGAAGGTCATTCACTCACTGTGATGGGGCCATGAGGGAGACAGGCTGAGACTATATGGAGAGATAACCAGGGAAGAGGACAGCTAAGTGGCCTCTGAAGGCAGAGCATGGAGAAGTGTGGGGGTTTTATAGGAGCAGAGTGTGTAGGACACTTAATGACGGCTGAAATGAGAAGCTGCATTCTGGATGAGTTATTTGTGTGGAGGGGAATCTTTTTGTGAGAATGTCAAAGAAAGTTTTGTAAAGGTTCTGGCAATGATGATGATGTGCTTGAAAACAAGCTGAGAGGAATTCTCGAGTCGACAGATGTTTTTCAGAAATTACTTATTTGTCTGGATTCCAACTCTTGTGAAGAAATGTCAAAAAAATAAGAAAAAGTTTGTTAAATCTTCAACTTTTTAGGAGTTTTAAGAAACACAAGACATCAATAAACAGTGACAAGACCCCAGAGTTTAATTAAACTTTACTGTAAAGATTGATGCCAAACTGTCAGGAGTTTTTTCTCTGAGGTAAATGAGACGATGATGTGAGTAGCAACCTCATACAACAGATTACATTAAAATCTCAATATTGCAGCCAAGTAAGCTTTTAACCAACTGAAGCTGAATCCAGGGTGAAGTAATGTAAGGCCATACCGATGTCTTCAAGGCCAATTTTACATGTACAGTCTGTGCCAATGAGTCTGTAAGCACACTAGATTTGGATCCCTTTACACTTTTAAAACAAAGACGCTTGTATTTCATAACCAGTAGATGATAAAACAGGGAATATGAGGAGTATAGAGTGGCGGGTGACATGCAGCATCCTTGCTTTAAGGTTCTTTTCTGTTTTATACACAGACTTGTTAAAAATAAACCAGCAAAGTACAAACCATGACCATTTTGAAGTATTCTGACATGTATGTAATCGATCACAACAATGTTTGTTCCTCTGTGAATTAGGGATGTAACAATATGAAAATTTCACATCACGATTATTGTAACCAAAATGATCATGGTTATCAATATTATCACGGTATTGTTGAAATATGTTCAAGATATTTAAAAAGTACACACAAACAGGACTAACATACACAGTTTTCACGATTCCCTAAGCCCCCACATCATGCATTTATTTCAAGATAACTTACCTTTAACTCGCTGTACAGTCTCTGGTGGTTGTCTTGTAGATGGGACATCATATTGGAAGTGTTTCCACCCTTTGCTATGATTATTATTTTGGCATTTTCGGCAAACTGATTGGCCGTCCTCAATCAGTGCTCCTTCCGCATCTTTGTAGAAGCCGAAATACGCCCAGACTTCAGACTTTGTTTTCTTTGACGGCAGAAAAATCTCTGCAACATGGTTGGCAGAACTGCCTGCTGAACTACCCTCTGCCATGTTTACAAGTTGTGTACCGCGGTGTATCATTTTACCGGTAATCGTTACATCTCTACTGTGAATGCACCTGAACTGAAAAGTGGTTTAAGCAGCTAAGAGAAGGGATGCTATCTGACCTCAGGGGTTGGACTGCAGGTTGTATTTACTCCGTGCTGTCTTCTGTCTTTACTCCTCATGGCCACAGAAGTGGTCACATTTTGTCAGACAGAATCAAGCCTGACTGCAGTTTTATTATGATGAAGGTGTAGGATGTCCAAACCTGCACCTGTTGAGAGAATCAGGGAATGAGGGAGATGATGTTTACACAGTCCAGGGAGGAGTCCTGGACAAGGAGGAAAACACCTGCTGGTGTTGTGCTGTCCATCACAAATAAGTAAACCTTTGATAACCTTTTTTTAAGTAGTCTTGACAGGTATTAGAATCAAACAGTTCCTCTTACCACGAGTACAGACAGAGAACAAAAAGTAGAGCGCAATGAAGTGTGGACAGTTGCCAGACTTGACAGCTGAATAAAACTGGCAACACAATTAGGAGCCCATCAGCCAATTGTCTCTCTGCAATGATGTAATTTTACACTCGACAAGTACTGAGTGACCCAGAAGCTTATTAGAAGCGTCCAAAGTTTGAGTAGGATCTTAACCCCACTTTCAAACATCATCTTTGATGAAAGATTTCACTGCTTAGATTTTCTGAAGATGAAT